AGCAGGTGTCCTCTGGTGGCTACGTTATAGTCAGTTTTCCTTCAGAAAGTTCATAATCACCATCCAGATGAACATTATCTCTGGCTGGGCCTTTATGTTTGGTTAAGCCATAAAGAAAGTATGGACATGTTGAAATTTCATCATATCCCTCAGCTAACAGGGTTAGAATGACGTTTGTGGTTAGAGTGACTTTTGTTGCCATGATGCCAGGTCTCTCTTGGAAATTAGATTTTTAATCTCAATGAGATTTTTTACCTGGATAAATAAAGGACTAATAAAAAAAAATAGAATATTTCATACTGGAACCAGTCAAACATGTTTGAACTGCAAATATTTGACTTCATCCAGTCAAATAAACTGTGCTCAGTGTTGCTGATGTATGTGCAGCTCATGTTGTGCTGTCCTCTCAGACCCCCAGGTGGAGGTGGATTCAGAGGTGGAGTCTGTCCAGCTGCCCTTCAAAACCAAAGTTCACCTGCCTGAAGATGCTAAAGTCGTGTGGAGTAACTCTTACAACAAAAATGTCCACGTGTATGAGAACGGCTCTGACCAGCCTGGAGAACAGGAAGTGGTTTACAGGGATCGAACAAAGATGAATGAAGACCTGCTGAAGACTGGAGACCTCAGTCTGACCCTGAAATACCCCACAGATGGAAACACAGGAGCCTACACCTGCACCGTCTACAGCAGGGAGGGAAACATCCTGCTGAAGAGAAAGGTGGAGATGAAAGTCAGAGGTTAGTGTTGTACATACAGGTCAAAGGTCAGAGGTCAATGTTGTAACTAGATGACCCGTGCTTGTTCCTACCATTATTGGCTGACCAACAATCTTTTATCTTTTTCTGATGAAAGAAGCTTAACCCTTTAAGACTGGTCGGAGCAGGCATGCTCCAGTTTGCGTAACTGTATTTAAATCCCTGTAGAACTGCAACCACAAAAGCTAAGCGCAATAATTGTTTTTGCATATGAAACCAGCTGCACTTACATCTTATTCCATCAGCTCATCCTAGGTCATGGTTTCCTTCCACATGCAAAAATGCATGAAAAGCAGTTGCAGCAACAATAACATAATATTCCAGAAACACGCTTAAAAATTGGCGTATCCCATAAATTAAACTAAGAAGACACTCAAAATAAATCTCCTGAGGTGGGAAACTATTTTGTGCAACTTTTTTGTATTTACAGTTTTGAGGGATAAACCTCTTAAATTTCCCTAACTAGAAATATAAGTTAAAAAAACAAACAAACAAAAAACAACTCTAAGATGATTTCAATTTTTTTTGGTTTATTGCACTATTTTGCAATTTATGTAGTTACTGTGGACTTAATGCAGACATATTATTAAAATTTGAGCTATAACAGTTGTATTGATGTATAGCAACTTGAAATGCTTCCTAGAATTGCACTACAGCATGTAAAAATATAAAGATAAGCTCTAGCGGACTTGGTTCTATGGTAGGTCTTAAAGGCAAAATAAAAACTGCAATACTTCAGGACAAAATCTATATTGAAATGACTCTTTCATCAATTTATACAAACAAGATGAAAACATTTTGGAGACACAAGAGCCAATCAGATGTTGACTTCCTCTGTTTCTCAGTGTCTGCATGCTGGTCATTAAGAGTCAGTTCTCCAATACTGAAGACAGAAACTTCAGTCATTCATTGTTTTATCTCCTTTGGGTGAAAGGAGAGGTGAAATTGCCATCCCATAGTGACAGATCATACAGTGGTTAGCACTGTTGTC